GGAATCTACAGAGAACAGCTCTCAATGCTGAAAGAACCAATTGTGCATATGGGAAATTACAAACTTTTTTAATTGACACAAAACAAAAGGAAGAGCCATGCTCTCCATAAAATGGATTTTTTTTCCTAAAAAAGACGATATTGTGATTATTGCTGTGGTCCAGCGATTGTATCCACTGTAGAAAATTAACTTGGCTTTGTTATAGCAGCATGCTCAGTTGTAGATTGGCGTGATACAGAAATTAATCGTCTTCTTGCATGTTATTTATTGTTGGTCTTAGCCGTGAAATCGAATCCGGTCGTGTTATAGATGAGGAATCATTTCCAAGGTGTCGATTCTGTACCAGAGAAGCATTTTATATTTCTTCACATATCCCATTCTTAAACATATTTTTCATACTGCAATCAAGGTGTAGGATGTAGATATCTTGGTAGACTTGAGCGCTAATTTGTTTCTGGTTCTGTAACAAAAAAAAAACAAATGTAAAATAAATTCAAGGCCCACAAGAATTTAACATTAATTATATTTTAGTGCTAACCGTTTTGAATATAAAAGCTATAAAAACAAAATATGTAAACAGAATGGAAGGCCACCACTACGATTTTTTTCATTGGTGTAGTTGATATTTGTTTTCTTTGTATGATTTCTATTTTGTCTTATACCGTGTATGTAATCGTGGTCAAAATATGTTATACAAATCACAGCTGATATTTTAGAACCTTTCAAAACATGTACGAAAGTGTTGAAATTTCAATTGTACAATGCGAGACTTTATGTCACATATACAGTAGACGCCAAAAGTTTATCACAATATAGTTTGTCGTCAATAACTTTTCATGATATAACCACAGAATTATCAGGTGTGGCAGACTGACTCGAATTGTTTTTTTATGGCACTCTCACACTCAACAAACTATTAATAGAGTCCTTCATACTACGAAACATATTAATATTTTATTGCCCACTGTAGTAAATGCTAGTGTTGAAAGCTCAAAAATGAATTTTTTTATTTTGGCTAAACTCAAAGGTTAGATTAAAATTCACCCTTTTACCTACAGTGTGGTTAGTGTTATTGGTAAATGAACTTTGAATGTGTAAAATATCTTATGTTCATAGGCCAAAAAGAAAATTTGTGATAAGTACCAAACTTTGTTATCAATAGGGGGCCAGCACCAGATATATATGGCATTGAATTCACTTCTATCGAAAAGTGACACTCATGGGTTGAGAAACTAATAACCGAGCAGAGCTAGTGTGAGCGTTTTGGCGAGATTCAACGTGGGCAAGCGCCTCAACTTTTTCCAAAGGGATAGGTTTCGAATAAAACCATTCCTGACTGTAAGAAACGTAAGAAGTATAATATGATATGGAAAAAGAAAAGAAAGTGACTAGCGCAAATCGTTAGCTAGCTCTAGCACAGTCCGGAAACGTATTGATTCACAGAGGAAGATTCATCAAACTGACCTTCCATGGATTATGACCCCGATATTGCACCCATGAAGTTGACGAAACATGCGTTATACGAGGCTACTCCCCAGTGCTTAGACATATTACAAACATATAAATGGTGAGCAAAATGTCCTGCTAAGTATTGAGATCTCAGTTATTTGAAAAGATACAATTTCTGTTGAATTGGACAAAAGTTGCCTTATTGCCAAACTAATAAAATACACTTTTTGCTTTTTTAATATGTTTACTGCTTATTGAGATATCGCTGAAAACCTGAAAATGTCAACAAAATTAAAAATTCTCCATTTTCCATTTATACAATCGGAAGTCTCTCTCTGCATTATTCCATGTGGTTGAAAACTGACAGCCGCACAAGAGAATAGTTTTATGTTGTATATTGTGAAAGCACACTCTGTATAGTGAATATTCGAACGATCTTTATAAGCTACTTTAATTACAGGTTACCGAGCGAAATTTCAATTAAAACCATTGGACAATTTGACAACTTTATTTACAAGAATGAGCGATTCGCATCAATTAACCGCTTCAAAGTTTGGCGATGAAAAAAATGTTACGAGAAGTAGTTTAGAGCAAAGAAAATGATCTGAAACAATTTTTTTAATTAGTACCATGGAATGGAATGGATTTTATTTTATTATTTTAAACAGTTTATTTTTGTGTAAATCATATTTTAGTTGTGTAAATCTAGGTAAATAATTTCTAATTTTGAACATTTGTTTTATTGCGACAATTTTCGTTTCAAAAACAAATATTTTCTTCGTGTAAAATATATTTTTTCCATCTGTTTTTATTATTGCAAACATTTGTTGTATAGGAACCATTCCTGTTTGTAAAACATTTATTTTATTCATTCAAAACATGTAGCACTAGACTAGATACTCTTAATTGTTGTTCCAGCCTTTACAAATACAGTGTCGGTGATTTTCAAATTTAATTCGTTATTTAAGAACTAGAAGTTTAGTGTAAATACCAGTGCATAATAATATGTCAATGAAGAAGACGAAATCTTCAAATGTAAGTAGGTACAATTCATATTTATTGTTTATTCACTCGATTATTGTACGTATATTGGTTAGTTAGGTGATGTTACCATAGTAAACAAGAATTTTATTGAATTGAACAGAATTGATATTAAGTTATTTTTGAAAATTATAATTAATCACAATTATTGTACGTAATATTAATTTTGTGGGTTGTGAAATTGTCTCAACGGTGTCCTGTAAACATTTGGCGACTTTGTTGGGCATACTGCTTGTTGCTTTTCCAGACCTAAAGCTAATAAACAACCTGTCCATGTCTGGTGATTGTCTTTGACAAAGGTATTTTTTTACAATGTCTACCCATATTGCAACTCGATAATACAAACCTTAATAGACCACTTACACTTTTTTAGTTCCTTCTTTTAGAGCTAGGCGGTTCGTGTCGCACTTTGGTATAATATCAGCTGTTTTCTGTGGTTGTTGTATGGGAACAGAATAAACTTAACTGATTTTAAAAGAAAATGAACATTTCCGATTTAAAATCTGCCTTAAAGCAGTTAGGTGCCAAAACATCTGGATCGAAGCAGCAGTTGGAAAAGCGGTAAGTGTTGTTATATTCTGAATAAAGATTTTTTTAATTTCCTAACCTATTATTCTACTTTTAGATTAAGTACATGGAAAGAACATGGACTTGAGAAAACCTTATTCGAAGTAGATTTAATGAAATGTGTACCGAGCGAGGAATTCCCAACGAGTGCTTTGTTTAAACCGTTGAACACTTATTCCGGAACTGCATTGATAAGCTACGATGCAATTCATAAATGGTTTTCGGATCGACGAGCGCTTAAAGGAATGCAGAAAGGCCGCATATTAGCGATCAAGTTATTCATTAAATATAGTAAAACATATATTGATGGGAACAAGTATTATTTACAATGTAAGTGCTGTGTGGAACAAAGGAAAACTTTCGAATACAATGTCAAAATAAAAGTTGTACAACATCAGTCGACATTTGAAATTGCTCAGTGTCAGTGTACATGCCCTGCTGGAACGGGATGGTCGGCGGCATGCAAACATATTGGTGCATTCTGCTTTTCGTTGGAATACTTTTCGATTTCAGGTAAATTACGACACATTTGTAATGGATAAGGAAGCATTAAAAAGTTCATTTTAGGAAACACACAAGAATATGTCTCTTGCACTTCACAACCGATGGAATGGAACAAACCAATTGTCGGCAGGGGTATTGATGTAATGTCAATCTTTGAAATAACAGGGCGGCAAAGAAACAGTTATACTATTCGTGAATCTGACCCTTTAGTGAATAATTTAATTAATAACAATATTAGTTGTCCCCTGACAAATAAACGAAAAGCAAATTTGGAAGGTTACACAAATGATCATTTCGGATTAGTACATATGGGTAGGTATTTAATTAATATTTTCAAATATGTTTACAGGAGAATTTATTAAATATAAGCAAACTTTTTGAAGGAATATGTGATGCCCTCATCATAGAATAATTCGAGGGGTTTTCCTCCCTAAAAAATGATGTATACAGATTCAAATGGAGGTTAGCCCCTCGGAATAATATTTGGTTTTGCCTTTTGCATTTGCTAATTTATGGTTAAGTAACGCAGGTGCAAAATCCACCGAAGATGATCAACAGACTTCACCTACTGCATCTGTAAAAGCCTTGCCTGCATCAAATACTGACACATACGACTTTTCTTTTATAAATGCATTAAAACAACGACTGTATTCCAATTTACAATTGCAAGTACCGCTGCCGCTAGTAAACTTGACACAGTCTGAAGCAATATATTATAAAGAAAATGTTGTTGTGTCTGTAGACGGTGCGTTAGATATAGCTATGGCTACTGTCCACCAAAACAATACCTTATGGAGAATGCATCGAAAGCGACGTATAACAGCAAGTAGATGTTACGAATTATTTACTTACTGTAACAATGCAAACCCTAACTGGCCAAGGAAGATAGATAGTTTGATTAATTCTACATTTACAGGAAATGCAGCTACTGATTATGGTAACAGTTGTGAATCCCTTGCTAGACAAGTGTATCAATGCCAATATGGGCAAGTGCATTCCACAGGATTGCTAATTAATCCCTCCATTCCTTGGCTTGGATTTAGTCCTGATGGCCTAAAAATGCACAGCGGAGTTATTTATAAACTAATTGAGATAAAATGCCCTGTTCTGGGGAAGACCTCTGGTGTGGAAGGTTTTATATCAGAGTTACCATATCTCAAATATGACAATCAACAACTTTTCCCATATTGCCTTAATACGAATCATAAGTACTATGGTCAAGTGCAATTAGCAATGTTTTTGTTAAACATTGAATTGTGTGACTTTGTCATCTTTAGTTCTTTTGATAATAGTATATTTGTAATTGAAGTAGAAAGAGATGATGTATTCCTTCAAGCTCTAATCACAAAGTTGCATTACGTTTATTTCAGGTATTACTTAAAAATGTTATCTAGTTAATAGATTTTACCATTAATGATTTTACCGTTGGTATTGTAAATTAAGATTAGATATGTACATTATATATTTTATATTACTTAATGTTAGTGGTGTTACTTTGAATATTACAATATAGTTTAAGATGTGAAATGAGTTACATTATGATGCAAACTATTGCTTACTTCCTGTAATTAAAGTATCATGAACGATAGATGGTTTGAAGTTAATAAACATCATGCAGTTATATACAATTTCATTTGTTATATGCCATAAATGTCTTGGTATACGATCACTTAGGATTTTATTTTTTTTCCCCGCTCCTATTAAATTTTCAATAATTATTCGACGATTAGCAATGGCCCTGGTTTTAAAGATTTCTTCTTCCGTTAACTGCGCTCCTTTCTTGAATGGGGGGATATTTAAATGGACATGCTTTTCTTCCAAAAGATCTGATATGTCAAATCCTCGGTTAGCCAAAACGTAATCTGCTTCCTTCAAAAGATCAAGTATGCCCGATATATGTGATATTTTGCGATCAGTAATAGAACCCCCATACACATCTGACACAAAGGCAATTTCTCCATTTTCCGTTCCACCAATCAGTACCTTGAAAGTATTTGTTCCATAGTAACTAGAGTATGTAGCTTGTTGTATTAGAGGATCACCACTGCGTTCGATTCTAAATTCCGTACAATCCAAGACTATCGTGTACTGGCCGTGCTTACACGTTTTTAAATCCCAGAAGTTGATTTGTCTAAAGTTTGTGTATAGGTGTTTTGTCCACTTTTCTACTATGGATTTTATTATTCGAATATCTGTGTCAAAAAGGGCAGCTAACGTCGTATAATGTAAGTTCAGTCTGTATTTCATTAGCGTGATTAAGAGCTCGTCTTCATTGGTAAATAGCGAATGTGTTTTTGTGTATGAATTGCCAAAATATTGACAAAAAAAATAAACAATTTTCTGGAAAATCCCGTCATGTGTTTCATTTGAGCCTCATCTATGAAACTTGCGGATATTAATTGGGATCGCTTAAGACTAATGATCGTTTGAATTTGCGCATGATGTGTGCCACTTCTTTCCACTTCAACTTGTTCTTCTACATCTTCTGCGATAATGTCAACTATTTCATTGTCACGATTGACATTATGTTTGTCATTGTCGGTTACAATCTTTTGAGTATGCCTTGACAAATATCTTTCACTTCTTGCAGTAGAATCACGTTTCTCTAGATGATGAGAGCTCCTTGGCAAATTTTGTGATGGAATTGCACTTTTCTTAAGTATTTTCCATTGACCTGTGTTCAAAGTTTAAATAAATTGTGATAAGGAATACAAATACCACCTAAACTAGTCACAACGTAGTCATCATTTCGAAAATGTTTCTCACACACCTTTGCATGCTTTGAGGGCTGTTTTCCTGATTTGATCGCATTTAACCAAGATCGTTTTTCTTTTGCCTCTCTCGGAAACGAATGAAATTTATATTGTGTCGTCTTGGTGGTGGAATTACAGTTGTACACTGAACAATTGTAAGGCATTTTTTAGTATTCTTATGGAGAAATACATAAGAATAAAGTGAGGTTATGTTTTAATACCAAAACTCGCCTTCAGCGACCTCTATTTGTAAGTGGTCTATTGTGATAATATCAATATCATTTCTACATCGATATCGGCCATTCTCATATTTGTCGATGCGACATGCACCAGCGAGATCTATCAAAAATGACCCAAAATGCAAAGTTGGTATAACCACTTGCTGGAATGAGAAATTTACATTTGAATCGCACTAAGAAGGAAATCAAATTTCATTATATGAAGGCTGTGTTTTAGTGTTTTATTCATCTACTAATTCACAAATTGACAGTATTTTTCGAGGTATTTTTATTGCATTATTTACTTCCAGCATCCAAATAATTTAATTATACAATGTCAAAACCTTTTGCAACTTTATCAAAGTCTGGAAACTATAAACGATTAAAAGGTCTACAAAATGCTGAGACAATGCTGCATGCAAACACAGAGACCAATTCCACTCCATTATCTACTTTCCAACCCAATGTAATGACAATACTACTGCCACCGCTGTTTTGTTACCATCTCAAAGTGTAGAAAATGTATTCTATACTGAAGACAATTCTGAATATGTATATTTAGATTCAGGTCCTGATGACCAAGAAAAGTTTTTGTTTAGTGACACTTCCGATGAAAATTGTGGTTCAAAGTCATTGGTTAATTCAGACGGATTTGGAAGAATATGAAGAAGAGCGAGATAGTGTTTCTTCCATAACATTTTTTTTGCGTACGTGGGCATTAGACGAAAATATTACCCATAAGGCATTGTGCTGTCACGTACAAAACCACAGGAACTCTTGAGTTCTCACTCTTCTGGCGATGACAATGTTTTGTTGCCGGCTGCATACAGGGAGAAATGGGTAGGTTCAATTTGGTTTATATGGGCGCCAGAAGCGGGAATAACAACGAAAGTTGTAGATACTGCTCTTGCTTCAGGGAGCAGGATGTATATAGTTATCTCGAAGGAGGCGATACTCAAGCACACACACACACAGAAAGAAAGAAATTACATGGAGGCGAAAATACGGTATATTTAAATATCAGTTCAATAACCAAATGGGCAAATTAGCTTCAACTTACTCACAACAAATAAACAAGGCAATGAACAAAAATTTTAACATTCACAAGATCCACTTACTCGCTTGATTTAAGTTTAGGGCGAGTTATATGACCTCAAATTTACTAGGACCTGGGTTATTAGATAGCGCTACCAATATAACAACTTGACCACGGTACCTCACCTGGGGTATACTACTGATTAATATTTGTCTTGTGAAATGCTTTATAAACGCAATATAATTAATTTGTCACTAAGCACCAAATAGTGTAACTAATATGTAAGTAATTGAATGCAACCAAAAATTTAAATGAAATATAACCTTAAATGAGGCCATTATATGCAAAACTCGCTAATCGACAAAATCCTAGAAAAGTATATTTTTGGGTAGGTTTATACAGTTTTTAAAGAGGAATCGAATGGTGAAATCAGAAATGTTCAAAACTCTTTCCTTAGCATGCAAATATCGTTGAGAAAATTCAAGTTATACGCAGAACTCGCTCTTTGCTTGGACGTGTTACTTGCAAAACTCGCTGTTTGCTCTGCCACCAATTAAATTTGCCGGTTGATTCACGTGACGAGCACGCTAATAAACATTGTTAAATGTTTACAAGACAATAATATTTCAGTTTTCCATCGTTTTCGAGCTGCGTAGGTGTTTTACTAAATTATGGAGTTACTAAGAGATGGTATTTTGTCTGTTAAACCTAGTCCACAGGGAAAAGGTCGCAAAAAACTACTCCAGCCAGAAAAGCATAAGAGGAATGTCAATAAACTTGCTAGGTAAGTGCCTTAATTTTAAACTGATGATTTTAATTACATTAATAAAATTGTTACAGACATACACCAAAATCACTTCCGACCTTTCCAACTTGTGGTCACAATGGACAACCCAATTTGCCGTATTATTGTTCCACACTCACGATGAAGCAAATTAAAGATTTTCATGCCTACATTTATCGATCAAAAGAAAAAGTTGAACAAGATCTTTTGATATTGTTTTGTTGTAAAGGACAAAAACCAAAAAGAGGAAAATCTGATCATGCTACAGTGTCGATAAAATACCATGTACGCTTGAATGAGGGGAAGCTGGTTAGAGTATGTGCCAAAGCATTTCTTGGAATCACAAAATTGAGCAAAGATCGAATACAAAGAAATGTTAGAAATTTCGTACTCAAAGGGGAGATACCCAGGGAACGTAGAGGTGGCGATAGAGTTGGTCCGAAAAACGACGAAAAAAGAAACTGCATTAAACAATTTATAGAATCCATTAGATGTACCGAGTCTCATTATTGCAGAAGCAAGACAAGCGTGAGGGTCTACTTGCCATGTGATTTGAATTTTAAAAAACTTTTCGAATGTTATCTGCGGAGAGTGCCTTAGCCTATGCATGTGAAGCTTAGTTATTTTCGAAAATACGTGAACGCTTACTACAACAGCGCTTTTGGAACTCCACTGACTGACTGCTGCTCAACCTGCTTGAGAACAAAGGAGCAGTTGAAAATAGCAACTTCTTTAGATGTTCGGCAAAAGTTACTTACTGAGCATCGTGTTCACATCGCAAAAGCTAAGGCTTTTTTCGGACTTCTTAAAACAAAGCTAAACACATCCTACTTTTCCTTCGACTGCCAAAAAAACTTGGCCCTGCCTAGACTGCCAAATCAAGCAGCATATTTTAGCCAGCAAATTAACTATAATAACTTTACAGTTGTCGCTGGTACTTCTAGAGATAAACTAACACCAAGAAATGTGTTTTCTTACTTGTGGACAGAAATTGATTCCCGAAAAGATTCTAATACAATAGCATCAGCTTTGAATCATACCTTGAAGAGTTTTGATTTTGACCCCAGCATTGAAACAGTACGTTTGTTCGCTGACGGTTGCGGTGGACAAAACAAAAATACGAATATGATGGCTATGTTAGCTTACTGGCTCCTAGAAGAATCGCCGAAACATATTAGGCAAATTGAATTGATTTTCCCAATCGTTGGTCATTCCTTTATTCCACCTGATCGCGTCTTCGGCCTTATAGAGAAAGACATTAAAAAAATTTCAGTTATTGTGGAAGTTAGTGGGTACGATGATTTAATCAGGAAACATTCCACCATACGGAAGATCGGTATCGACTGGGATCTGTTTGATTGGAGAACACAGACAAAACGAGCTATCAAGCTGCCTAGTTCATGGCACTTTGAATTTAATAAAGCAAAAAGGTTTATTTTTTACAAAAAAGAGAAAAATGTTCTAATCCAAGGTGAACCTAATTACTGCACTGACGTTGGAAAAGCTAGTAGCGTTTGTAAAAAAAATTTCTCTCTGTCATCAATGGCTCCTAAGAAATTAACACTGGGAAAAGGACTAAGGGGGGGGATAAAGGCACTATTAACAACCTTCTTTCCAAACACTACGGAGAAAATTGGAGAAGTCTTCCTGAACTACACTTTTACAAAGAGCTCTTCGAAAAAGGTAATGCCCCACCAGAAGAAAACGTTGATGCGGACCGTTGCCAAAATGTCGAGAATGATTCCTTTTTTTTGTGAGCATTAAGTATTTTGAGTTATTTTTTTGTTTAAAAATGCAAAACTGTTACTTGTACGAATAACTCCTTCAAGTTTCTCATTAATCTAAAGATAGTTTTAATTTATCTTAGATATTTATTTTCAAAACTGGTTATTTGCAATAAACATTATTATTTTCTATTTAAACTGTAAATATTTTAGGCTGAAAACTTTTAATTTCCTCTCCTAAAAACTCTATGCAACATAAATAAAAAAAGTTACTTTGCGCGAAAAACACTAATCGACACATACATTTTTTTCGAGCAAACAGCAAGTTTTGCATATAATGGCCTCAAATTATACATAACCTCAAAATGACATGTATTTATCTTGTTTATCATAAGTATAAAAAACTTCGTTAAACACAAAAAAAAAACAACACAGTGAAAGTGAGAGAAGAAAAAGAATGAAGGAACAAGAGGAGATAGGTAAGATAGGATAGAGGCTCGACAAATGAATTCCCTTCCTTTATTTTATTTGACCACCGTGACGATGTAACAGAGACGGCACAACAATTACAGCCTGACCTTTGCCGGAGAGTGTAGCTTGCCAATTAAGGTGACCGGAGTGGATGGTGTGACTAACGGCTGACAATCGATGTGGCTTTGGTGATGCGAACCAGAACACAACGAACGCAAGACGTAGGTATAGATGGTTCCGGGAGGTATCGGTAAGTATCACGATAGGCAAGGATGTCTGGTTCTGATTATTGTAGATGATGGAATCAAACGTAGTGTGATGAAACCTCCAAGGAAACTTGAAGACGACGAACGAGATAAAGTAGACGTAAAAAAAGCTAAAAGAAACATCGATAATGTGTAGACAATTACAGCTAACAGAGTCGTACCTCTTGAGATGACGAGCGAGCTTATGGTGAATGTGACGGAAGATCCGCAATATATGCGCGAGAATTAACCACCAAAATATCAAACGGCACGTACTTAATCTTCTCTGACAACCAATTCTCTACAAATCCTTCCTTAGAAGCTCAATATAATTGTAATTAAAGACTTGGTGAAATCACATGTACTTCATACAAGATGTCTACAGGAAAAGTGAAAGTTGATAAGAGTATACGGGAAAAGGAAATTGTTATCAGCTACAGGTAATAACAATAAAGAGATGAGAAAGTTACTAAATTTGAATTCGAATTGTAGGGAAAGAAGAGTAGAAAATGAAACAAAGTATTTCGAAGACTTAATAGGCCTTAAGGGTAAGAAAATAAACCGTTACAGTGCAAGTTTAAAGGCTATTGTTCCGGAGTTACAATCACTACCAGTACAGGCTCTAACAATACTTAAAATGTAATTTTAAATCAGTTGATCCGGGACAATATCATCACATTTAATTAAATTTTGCATTAACACTTTTAACTTCTAATGTAAATTGTCTTGAACTGTTATTCAATGTTGATGGCTTACCACGTTTTAAAAGCAGTTCTTCAGAACTATGGCCTATTTTAATGTCATTTCCTTGTAAACCGCAACTACGCCACAAGGTTTTTCCAATTGGGCTTTATTTCGGAAGTGCTAAACCATACAATGGGCCAAACTTTCTGGAAGAATCAGTAGATGAATTAAAAAATCCTTTAAAAAATGGTTATGAATTCAATAACCGCAAAATAAACATTATAGTGTTAGGATTTTGTTGTGATGTGTCTGCAAGAAGTTTTATATTAGGAACCATCTCTCATACTGGATTTTATTCTTGATGTACAGTGAAAGGTAAGATAATAGGCCGTTTTTATGGATTTAGATTGTGTATTAAGGACTAGTGAAGGTTTTTGGCGAAAGAAGAGATTCCTACTATCGTCCACAAACTCGAGAGACTCCTTTTAGATGATTATGGCACACCGGAACCGGAGACTAGTTTGAATAGCACCAGTCAAAGTAATGGGTCACCGCAAGTCCATTGAAAACGGGTGCACGTTCTGTCTGAAATTCCGTCAACCTCTGTCCAAATACCTTCACCTCCGCCTGGCTTTGTCAATCACACAATTGCCCTACAACAAACATTGACCGAAGTGGCATTAAATGTGATGTCTTCAAATTTCTTGGAAAATGGAAAATTTGTCCGATAAATAATCTGGCACATTAGGGCGTTATGCGCGGGTACACCATCCTGTTGGAACCAACAGTTTCACAACTTTTGTTTTTTTATGTACCGTAAAAAGGGGTGACTTGAAAACGCAGGGCGAAATGAAAATTTCTGTCAGGAAAAGTTTGAAAACTTGCTACGACTTCACAAATTATTAATGTTGCCTACATTACCGACTATATAACGGCTGTGATCATAGAATAGTGAAATTGTTATCTTAGTATTGGCGGTAAATCAACGACAAGGTAAGAAACGTTACATTTTTATTAGGTGAATACTTTTATCTGCACAGATCGAATAAACAACGGTATGGCCTAGTGATATTTTTTGCGTATTAACATGATCATTATTCATTAGTACTTTAACCTCACAAATGTTTGAAACTTTACCGGCAAGCAGTGGCGTTGGGTTTCATTATTCGATGTCATTTCAGGGGCGACTTGAAAACTATGCGCACGTATAAAAGAAAACCCTGTTCGAGGAAATACAAGGATTACGATGAGGAAACCTTAGAAAAGGCTCTTGAAAGTTACGTTTCGGGTCAAAATACGCTCAAAGAAGCAGGTGAACAATATGGTATGCCATATGTCACCATATATCGTAAGTTTAAAGGTCTCCATAGCAAACCGCATGGTGGCCAAACAGCGCTGACACCTAACGAAGAAAAGGCTATTGTGAAGGGTGTATCAGTGGCAGCGGAATGGGGGTTTCCCTTTGAACGTGGTGAGACTTTTGAAATGGTAAAATCATACCTTGACCAAAAGGGTTCCAAAATTCGCAATTTTTCTAACAATACACCTGGCGAGGGTTGGTTTCATGGATTCATGAAAAGACATGGTGACACGATAACGTAAAGAACTTCACAAGCCATTAAAGAAAGCAGGGCTAAAATCAATAGTCTTCTTTGATCATTTATAAATAACTATAAAAGATGTGGTGCCAGAGGCGTTTATCAATTATGACTAAACAAATTTCACAGACGACCCTGGGAGAACAAAAGTAGTGGCCAGACGTAAGTCAAAAAGGGCCGAGAAAATAATGGATTCCTCGAAGGCTGCGACGTCGGTGACGTTTGCTTGTTCTGCTTCAGGAGAAATGCTCCCACCTTACATAGTATACAAATCCGAAAACTTGTGGTACACGTGGCGCGAAGGAGGTCCAGATAGTGCAGTCTACAATCGCACTCACTCGGGTTGGTTTGACGCCAGCCTTTTTGAAGACTGGTTTAATAAAATCATGCTACCATATTTTAAAAAAATTGGGCCTGGACCAAAAGTCCTCCTTGGTGACAATTTAGCTAGTCACATTTCATACAACGTAGTGAAGGTCTGCCAAGATAATAATATTCGTTTTGTGCTACTCCCTCCCAACAGTACGCACCTTACTCAACCATTAGACGTGACTTGCTTCCGTCCAATCAAAAATTCATGGCGCAAAATTCTCCAAAAATGGAAAAAAAATCACAAGGGTGTGATACGAAAAGACCATTTTCCACGACTTTTGAGGCAAGCGTTAAATGAAATAAAAGATAATGGACGGAATAACATAATATTTGGTTTTGCAGCAACAGGTCTACACCCATTACAACGTCTAAAAGTGTTAAATAGATTGCCAAATGAAGATGAAGTGGATAATCCTGAAGTAGACGCTACAATGACGAGATCCCTCACACGAGATTTATGGAGAAAAGGCTCTTCCGGGTAAAAGAAGAAAATTAAATGTACCACCCGGCGCAAGTGTAACAGGCAGATTTCGATAGTACCACTCCACCTGGCGAATTGTCAAAATCTCCTGGACCTGATGTCCCCCAAAATGAATCGAGTGGCGTTTCTGATGATGTCATTTCAGAAGAGGAAGTTGTGGAAGGTGAAGCCATTAATGCTTCTATAGACTTTGAAAATTTAAATTCTGATGACTTCATTCTTTCATGTGTGAATTTTTATTTATGATTTTAAGAATCATTTTTAGCGCATTTCCACAACAATAAAAAAAAAATGCGCTATTGTGGCCACTTTGTCCGTCCGTCCGCTCGTATTGCGACGCTACTAGTTCTTTATCTTAAGAGCTATTGTTCTACTTTTTTCGCTATTTGGTTCGTTATGGCGTCGAGTCTTGTACCAAGGAAGGAATTTTTTCTGTACCGCTTACAAAAAAAGTTATTGTAAAAAAAACAAAAAACCGTTTTTTACATGTTCCATAATTTTACACTTTTGCCGTTTATTAACGATCCTAGAGATCGTTTATAATTTTGCATTACTATCTGTCGCCTGCCGGTTGGTCTCTCCGTCTGTTCCTTTGTCTGTCTGTGCATCTATCTGTCCGTGTGAACGATAACTTTGTTTAGAAATGTTCGATCTCTTTTACATCTCCGTTAGTTATGAACTGAATTGCATGAAATTCAATATGGGCATAGCTTTAGCCATATAATACGCAATGCCAAAAGTTGAATCGAATCGATTCAAAATTCACAGTGCCCTTTTCGCATCTCGACCATTTATAAACCGAATTGCAAAATTTTTTACTTATAAAAGCATTTGAATGAAATTTGATACATAGGCACTTGGAATAAAGGAAAATCAAACGCCAATTTCAAAATTTGGTTTTGCGCATGCGCAGTGCCAACTTTTTTATTTATGGAAGAATTTAAACGAAATTTGATACATAGGCACTTGGGATAAAGGAAAATCAAACGCCATTTCAAAATTTGGTTTTGCGCATGCGCAGTGCCAACTTTTTTATTTATGGAAGCATTTAAGTGAAATTTGATATTTAGGCGCTTGGAACAAAGGAAAATCTAACATTAGTTTCAAAATTTAGGTTTGCGCATGCGCAGTTCCATTTAGAAAAGCATTGAAATGAAATTCTTCTCATAAACTGACATTGAAGTAGCACTAGGGCTGGGCGATTACGGGTTTGAATAATCGATAATCGATTATGAAAAATAATCGATTACACTGATTAATCGATTAATCAAATAATCGTTTAATCAAATAATCGATTAATCAAATAATCGATTAATCACCTAATCGTTTAATCAAAAGTCGATTGTCACATACAAGGAGTGATAAATATCTGTTTGTATGCATTAATATGTTAATTATTTAATAATAAAAATAAAAAATAATTCCATTACTCTTTTCATCAAATCGTTCATTACTAGGCAGATCGATTAATCAATAATCAACAAAGTGTCCCTGGTTCGAATCCGGGTTCGGGCATGGATATTTGCAAATGCATAGTGGGTTGGTTGGTACCCTGCCCATTTGAAAATGAAGGTCAAAAATAAAAATAAATAAATAAAAATAAATGATTAGTCAGCTTACTCTCCGATGAGGTGTGCTTTAGTTTTGATGATACAATTTTAATTCATTTTAGCTGCTTAAAGTGACGTTTTAACATCCGCTATAAAATAAAATAATACTTGTGAGCTGTGAGTGCTCCTTTTTGCGTAAACTGATGATCCAGCTAATAATAATCAATTAAAATTTACTTAATAATTGATTAATCAAATAATTGATTAATCAAATAATCGATTAATCAAATAATCGATTAATTTAATAGAATAATCAAACCCGATTATCGATTATCGTTTGATTATAATCGATTAATCGATTTTTTTGCCCAACGTTAAGTAGCACGACAAAAATGGATTGCCCATGTGCAGCGCTATCTTTCATATTTGTGGCCGGATTTTTACGATTTTATAGAAGTTGCATCTTACAAATGGGAAATGAATGCAAGTGGAAATGCGCTTTATGTAAATCGTTTACGATTACTTTTTAACTTGTTGTTTTTTTTTGTGCAATAAGTTGAAGTAGGTAAATAAGGCCTGATTTTATAGTTGTCGAAGAATTATGTTTCTGTTTGTTGTTAAATAAATTTTTTCTTTTCTATCTACCTTATTAAATGTGGGAAATTGATAAATTTCTATTTTTTTTTTAAATTTGGTTTTCAAGTAGCCCCCAGAGATGATATACTTTAAAAAAACATTTGAAATCCAACGTTTGTTTTTCAAGTAACCCCATCCTGGGGTGACTTGAAAATAGACATAAATAATTTTTTTTAGGATCAATTATTTCAACAACAAAGATATCAGCTGAACCATGAAGCCAAAACGATCAATTTGGCATATTTTTGGTAGGTCTAGCATTAAGAGCAACTTTTTTACAGGCCAAAGTATCTCAAATCGTTTTCAAGTCACCCCGTTTTACGGTACACAATACAGAGTGTGCTTTTTTAAAGTGCCATATAAAAAAACAAAGTTGATTTCTCAGAAACGAAAATCCTTCAACACTGTCTTGCAGAGTTCAAATACATAGTAGCAATGAGAAAGTGTTTATATTTTTGTATCTGTTCAAATAACATAAGAAATAAATAAAAACAAAATCTGCATGTCTGGTTTTCTTTACAGCATAATAATGGATTTTCATTAAATTCTGCAATCATATCCCACACCATTTGAAATGTGAAACTAACACTAAATTTAAGCATACTAAAACAACCATTTTATGATTTAGCTACGGGAAACGTATCCTGAAATGTCTATGTATGGATGCAGCTCTGAATCTACTATAGTTCGTTCACCCAACAGAAATAGTTAAGCCCCTCCTCAACAATTACCGCCACATTTGAATACGACATTGTTATTGGTGTAATTTTTGAAGCCACAATCACACTTGTAAAGCGAATTGGCCGAATTGGGTAATCTGTCATCTGTCATCTTGCCTATTGCGTTTCTGCCGGTTTTTACGTTTTTACATCTTTACTTGCGTCAATTTGCCATTAATCTCCTTTATTCACACAAAATAATCTTTATAAAGACTCGTCGGTGTATTCTAAAGATAGTCAGGTGAGTTTTATTATAAAATTTTATACACGATTTTTACATGCCTGTTTTTAGAAAAGTTGTACGCAAACATGAATGTCGCCGGTGCTGCTTTCTCTCCACCGAAAAAACGTTCTGCCAAGCACTTTTCAGTTGAAGACAAAACTGGCATTTTAAATATCTTCAAGGCATATTCGGAAGACAACCAGGAGGTATCTAAAACGGATAAAGTCGAGTTTACGGCTAAAGCAGCAGGTAATTTTCATCTTAGGCACATTTATTTTTACTTATTATTGTGTAATTTAGGTGTAAGCATTCCGAGTGTCTACAAGATTCTTCGGGAGTATACAGAGGTACACGAACTTCATTCACCTAAAAAATATTATCGACCACGAACAATTTTGGACAATATTGATTCCGGAACTAAAAGTATTCTTTGACGTTTGCTTCATTCTTTCTTTGAAAGAAATAAACCACCTACCCTGAGTAAAGTTTTGGCAGTGTTACACGTCCACTATTTCAACAAGCAGTGGAACATGTTACTGCTGAAAATTGGAAGAACGCAATTCGCCATGCTCAAAGTGAAGAGGAAAAAATGTGGCAAATTGACATTTTAATGGACATCGTAGTGGAGCCATTAGTAATTCATGTGGGAGATGACTCGACATTAACGGAGTCCGAATCCGAGTGAAGCGATACAGGATTTAAATTGTTATGTACCTTTGTTTATATTCAAGTGCACTTGTAATTTCAAAACTTTGTGCTGCTGTAATAATACTTTTTTGTACTTCTCAATATAAACAGTGTTTTTATGTTGCATATTTACATGTATTTAACAGTTTGCAAGTTTTACTATTTTTGCCACGAGTTATGTTCAGAGAGATAGCGCCATAATTAGTCTTGAGCAAGTGATATTTCAATTTGATTTTTCAAATTTTCCGCTTTTTATAATTTTGTGGTTGTAAAACTGGTTGCTGCTTACATTGGCCCAAATTTTGTAGGAGTGGCTTAACTATTTCTGTTGGGTGGACAGCGTATAGCAACTGTTATTTCACCAAAAACAGTAATGAAACATATTATTGAAATACAAACTTATTGGAAAAATCGAGGGAAAAATCATCATCAAATGTATTGTTGGCTACGTGAGAAAAATGGGAAAATGCCCCAAATTCCAAATGATACTCGGTAGAATTCTCAGTTAGATTGTGTAAGAACTTATTTCACCTAAAGAAATTTAAAGTTTAATTTTAAGTGGGTAAGCAGTAGGTACAAATGTGTAAGAATGGGACGGAATAAAAACCATTAAAACCAATGAAAATTCGGAAAACCACATAACCACTTAACCCTTGGCTCGAAAAACCGGTCATTCATCATATTTAACTTTTCATTTGTCTAATTTCTGTGCTAGTAATGGCATAGAATTAGGTGCTCTATACCCAAATTCTCTCGCAAATTCTACTTCTGCAACCATTGGACGTTGCGGGGTCTAGACCCCTAAAGCTTGCCTACAAAAAATGAGGTGCAAACTTGGAAGATTGAAAATTCAACTAGAATTCAAAAACAGAATTTCGTGAAAATGTTTGAGAAAGCTTTATCTCATATTAGCCAAGAAACAATTAAGAATGTTTATGTCCGTTTGGAATGAGAAATGTTCAGTTCGAAAAAATTTCCAAGCACACTACTCCTGTTACACAATCAAAAAAACTCCAAATATCCCTTAGGAATCTACTGAAGCTTTTGAAGGAAAAATTGGCCCAAACAAGTTTAACTCAATTCAGAAAGTGTTTAACAGAAGAATCAAGCTGGAAAAGTGCACATGAAGATGTAAGGCCTTTATAAAATCTGGAAAAGCATCGCCAAAGAAAATACATCAACCACAGAAGAAACTACAAGACAAGAAGGTCAACATAGTGAACCGGAAGCGCGAGCAGAAGATATTAACGTGGCATTAGAATTGGAAGATGTAGACGACTGATTTGAAAGTAAACCCAAAGTTGGAAACTGGAAACTTGTTTATGTATTATAATACTCTTTGCACGACTGTGTATTTTATGTAAAACCAAACCCACAATTTCTTAAAATACCAATTTAATATTCTCAAAAATTTATTAACATTTCTTGTCGAAATCCAGGTTTAAATAGTATATAAAATCATTCCAACATTGGGGGGGTCCATTATTGGTTCATCACATATAAGGGGTGTTCATTATTTGTACATGCTCCCGAGAGTGTTTAGAATTATCTACTGGTACGTACTTTAAAAGGTGCATTTTAACGTTATATCTGTCGTAGGCTTATTGCAAAATCAGTCTTATTATAATACACCTAGGCTTTTTCAATACGACCAGGCGAATTGTGAAACGACACGAAAAATTGGGAATCTCACAATTTGACTGAAAATTTTTAGGCGTATTATGATTCGCCTGCAGCTTGTTAGTCTTACTGTTAAAAGAGAACCTGTTTTACAATACGACTACTTGAAATCCGCCGTATTAGAATACGGCTGGCGGCTGGCGGTACGTCAGGCACATTAAAAACAATCCACAGTGCTAATAATTAGGTGTTTTGTTTTGTGCACCTACAGAATTTTAAGTGATATTAGTGCTAAACATTTGTACTTGAAATGAGTGTTAATTTATGCAACGTGTTCGTAGATAAAAACAAATATTATGGAGAGCTAGACCAACCAATGAAGTAATTACTAATATTCCGGAAGGGAAAGCAATTTCCTTGAGAGAAGCTCTAAGATTATGTTAAAAATTCGAAGGACAGGGGTTTAAAAAGTGTTCATGCAAACCAAGCAAAGTACAGTGTCGCAGTAATAAATATTTATGTTTTAAAGCTCATATGCAATGTACTAGCAAATGTCATAAAAGCGGACCATGCTGTAATAAATAAATAATCCAAATCTATAATTATTTTTTTAAATTGTTTAAACCTCTTTAAAGTGAATGATTAAATACAATTTGCCTGACGTACCGCCAGCCGTATTCTAATACGGCGGATTTCAAGTAGTCGTATTGTAAAACAGGTTCTCTTTTAACAGTAAGACTAACAAGCTGCAGGCGAATCATAATACGCCTAAAAATTATCAGTCAAATTGTGAGATTCCCAATTTTTCGTGTCGTTTCACAATTCGCCTGGTCGTATTGAAAAAGCCTAGGTGTATTATAATAAGACTGATTTTGCAATAAGCCTGCGACATATCCATTGTTTATTATAAACAAAAGATGATCGAATTAGAATCTGGCTTGCCATCATTTGTCATTGTTCTACTTCGAGAGAAATATGGGTGAACGTCCTTAAGCGACCCGTTATAGGTGCATTTACTTTACTAGGAGGCAGTTTAGGTCCAAAAATAGATTTAAGATTTATTTTATTTCCAAAATTAGACTTCTTTTCCAAATATTGTGAAGGCATTACAATCTATGTTCTATAAACATTTAACATACAAAATGCAAAAACATATTTCAGTAAAACAAATGGCTTAATGTACCCCACTTTCCCCTACACTATTTTGCTTGGTGGATGACCCCTCATTGATTAACGAATAACTTGCAATTCCGAAAAAGCAATGCAAAAGTAAAACAAGCACTTCCAAGTTCACACAATTCTTTTGAGGTTAGTGGAAATTAAAGAGAGCAAAGCTTAACACTAACATTAAATCAAAAATGCATCCATGTAAAACTTATGGTTCATCCAAGAAAAATACCACCTGGCCGAGTTTGGAACTTCGACCAAAAATTACAATTCGTTCAAGGTCTTGCCTTTTTCGATAGATGTCAATTAGTCTCGCTACCTTTAAGGCGAGGATAGACTAGCAAGTTTTCTTATGCAAGTTGCTGTCTGATAGCACTGTCGAGTGACAATGTCACTCGCCCAAAAGGTCTCGTATACGTTTCAACCAGACAGTTTTATTGTCGCAACTTACGGTGGTTTTTATACCTCAACAGTGCTGTCAGACAACAACTCGCGCAAGAGAACCAATTCTATCACGGCTTTTATGTTATTATTATAAGATAAGCGTGAAAACTTACATTTTAAGTTGCATCATTTGCATGGGCTTTCTTGTTAAGGTCAAGATCAGTCTGGATATTCACAACGCCCCGAGAATGGTTTGTTACTAGCGGATGGTACAGTGGAAGGACTACACAGCTCTCTTGCATTATTGTTTATTGTAAAATGCCCACCTGTAACACAGACAACAATAGTAAATTGGTAATGAAAACCTATCATAACCAAACTAAGTTTAATAACCCCACAAATGTTTTTCATTGCTCGCATCATTAAATTTACCTCAAATATTGGGCACATTATTTAAATACATTGTCGTTCTTGGCAAAATCAACATTCTACTTTTATCACGTGCAACACTGCAACAAAAAAGTTTTCCATTTCTTTTTACACCACGTGCGTAATTATGCATTTCAACGATTTCAAATCCAATGCTTACATTTCGTCGTTTCCTTGGGTCACCTTGATTGCACAATAAAACCTGTAAACTGCAGTACTTCATCAATCGTAAACGACAAAAATGTGCAACGGAATTAATGCAACTGCAGCACAATTAGGCAAAATCGTAAGCTTGCAAAAATCCGATTAAGACGCAGGCGGTTGCTTTGCTTTTGTTTGATACCTAATAAAGTTATGGCGTAGTATAACAGATACCAGTTCTTGTAGTTTATTCCGATGAACAAACTTTTTGTCAGCAAGCCGGCTATGTAATTGCGCACATTCGCAGATTTATAACGGAGAATTACAAATTCTATAATAAAATACACTCTTACCTAATAGTTTCGTTTTAAGGACAGCAGGAAATTAAAAATGGCCATAACATTCACACTAACCGACAAAAACTAAACAGAAACATCGCCTCGCCATTACCAACCACGCTTCGATTGCAGAATGCAGTTGAACTTGAAATGCAGCATGCAGCCGAAGGCGAAGACAAGCCGTTGTCGTCCCGCAATCCTCCAATCGGCCAATCACATAGCGCAAACCAGTGCTGCCACATATAATTTGTTCAGTTCGCCAACCTCTTAACATCAAAATTCTTCATCGAGCGGATACAGAGAGTAACTGCGGTTTGCAATAATGCATTCGCATTGTTCGGACGAACAGGGTCGGCTTAGGCGTAAGCGGTGTAACTCTTCACTTACGGCGAGGCGCAGACAAGAAGGGGCGCAAAATTACTCAAATTGAATCACGGATATAAACGCCATGCACGGCTTTTTCTGTTTTTAAAATCAAACTATAACGCATAAAAGCATTACCGCCATATAAGATAAATTGAAAAAAGTTCTCTCATGCGAATTTTTGATGCATCATATTCTGCCATTTTATTCATTTTATTGTTTTACCTATTACTTACGGTAAACGTCCCCAAAAAAATTTTCTTATGAAGGAAACATAATTAGAAATAGGGTATGAGTGGTAATTTGTACCTCCGCACAATGCAAACGTCATACATGATTTTTAAAAAGGTATATACAGGGTACGGTCGGAAATTTACTTCAAAAAGTATCAGTAATTAAAGTAATGCAATCGCAGTAAAGCGGTTATTTATTAAATTTTACTCAAAATACTGAAGATGCTGTAATAATTTTCGACCGCTTGTTTTGCAATTATATGCTTTTGACAACTGATACCTACTTAACCTCAATTATTCTCTATTGTGTATATTGCCTTATTGCCACAATGGATTCTGAAAGTATAGTTCCTTTAACACGTTGAGTGCCACGAGAAATTTTTGAAAATTTTTTATCGGGCCAAAAACTATTTTAAGCATTTTCGGATATGTTATGGCGGGTATAATGGCAAAAAGTTATAAATATCATGATACAGTGTGTAAAGCGATGGGGTATTATACAAGAGGGAATTCTTTTTAAATATTGATTTATGAAAAAAATTTATTCTTCATGATATTTTTTGCTTGCTTTGAAAGTACCAATAACGTTTCGATAATCTAAAATTTATTTATAAAAATTTGGAAAAATAATAAAATTAATTTTTTTTTATTGAAAGTTATCATTCTACATTATAATTAAGATAGAGTATTACTATCAAACCACAAACAATCGAAACGTTATTGGTACTTTCAAAGCAAGTAAAAAATATTATGAAGAATAAATTTTTTTCATAAATCAATATTTAAAAAAAATTCCCTCTTGTATACCCCATCGCTTTACACACTGTACATTTGTTTATTTAAAAATAAAAATAATAAATTTAATAAAAACTGCTGCAACTACCGAGTGGTCCCTAGGGACCGCCGTGGCCCTATCAGATATGTTACGAGCGGCCCCCACGGACCGCTGCGGCGCTAAACGTGTTAA